AACAATTAATTACTAAAAATACTCATTTCTGTCATATTTTTACTGTTTTATGTAAATGTCTTTATTCTGACATCCAGTGAAGCCGATGAGTCCTGCAGGCCTTCAGGGAGAGATGTTGTGTGACAGCGGCTGTAAATAAAGCCTTCCTCCGTGGTGCGTGCATGTGCGTGCACGGAGCTTTTACGGGGAATCTAACCGACAAGCAATCAGTGTTATACTGGTGCGTGTGCACTACAGCTTTTAATATTACAGACGAACCAGAGAATAAAAATCGTATTTTTACGATAGTTGTAAAAATAATAATAATAATGATAATGATAATAATAATAATAATAATCACAATAATAATAATTATTATTATTGTTGTTACTATTAATTATTATTATTATTATTATTATTATTATTATTATTATTATTATTATTATCGATTATAATTTGGATGCTATTACGTAAGTAATCAGGTAAAATTTAAATCATATCAACGTGAAAAAATCGAATTTTTAAACATATTTTCAGGAGGTATTTATTCTGATTATGTTAATAAAATATAAAATTATTTAAGAAGAAAATTGTTAAAAAGACAAACAGATTAGATGATAGATAGATAGATAGATAGATAGATAGATAGATAGATAGATAGATAGATAGATAGATAGATAGATAGATAGATAGATAGATAGATAGATAGATAGATAGATAGATGATAGATAGATAGATAGATAGATAGATAGATAGATAGATAGATAGATAGATAGATAGATAGATAGATAGATAGATAGATAGATAGATAGATAGATAGATAGATAGATAGATAGATAGATAGATAGATAGATAGATAGATAGATAGATAGATAGATAGATAGATAGATAGATAGATAGATAGATAGATAGATTTGTACAAGTTTTTAGCAAGAAAAAAACCTAAAGTATAAACTAGAGTTTGGAGCTCAAGACCAGACAAATAAATAAATAAATAAATAAATAAATAATAACAACACTCATTTCTGTCATGTTTTTACCGTTTGCATGTATCTTGCTGTTGTTTATAATCACACAATTATTCTCCGTGTACATGAGCTTCCGGTGAAAAGCACATTTTCCCTTTAGAACGGATGATGATATGTAAGGAAGCACGAGACCACATCTTCCCACAGATCCACGTGGAGCAGCTGAAGTCTAATGAAACAACCCTCTTCACATATTTCCTTTTCTATGACTTCCATCACTTTTCTCTCTCCCTCTCGGCCTCCAGACGCTTCTGCGCGCGTCACACATGTCAGCCATTTATCTTAGCGCCAGACAAGCTGGAATCCTAATTATTTACTCTGAGGAATATGGAGAGGGAGAGGGGGGGAGGCTGGAGAGTGTGGGAGGAATATGTTATTAAATCATAACGCTATTTCACATTAAACGGGACACGTAATGTCCCTGCCCTTGGCATGTAGGGCTACGGCTTAATGCAATCAGCAGCTCCAGCGCGCGCCTGCGTGCATAATCCACTCTTCCAAGCAGAGAAACCAGAGCAGAGGAAGAGGTCGGCCCGAGTGTCCAGTGTCTCAGCTTTATCCCGGGATATAAAATTACAAATGGCGCCTGCCGGGAAAAGCAGGCAGGCAGAGAGACAGAGAATCCATTAAGCTGGATAACCCACGGAGGTTGTTGTTGAGCCCATCAGGACAGAGGCGAGTCAGAACCAAGGAGCAGCTCTAGCTCTGAGCCAGGCTTCAGCCCCAAAGAGCAGGAAGGACCCACAGGCTGCAAATATTAAGTGAGAACGAAAATTCAAATAAAACCTGAGCCAGACGCGCGGGACAAAGCAGGACTGATGCGCCCTCGTTCTAGAAAAACGGGCCGCCATTGCTTTGTAAACAAATAAGAGGGAGGGGGGGGGGGGGGAAGGAGTGAGTGGGAAAGAAAAGAGAAGATGACACAGATGGACAGAGACAGGAGAGCTCCAGCAGCTGAACTCTTCTTGAACCAGGATTGGAGTCACAGGGCCCATAAATCACCGAGCCCGCCGCGCGCCACCCGCCGCTCACACTCACACACACACCGAGTAAACACACGGTTCTCTTTCCGTAATGACGGGCCGGTGTTTGCCTGCCACTCAGCTCTTTACCTTCTTTAGGACCGGCGATCCCGGTCCAGTCCGATCCGGACCCGGCTGCGGCCCATCTTGAGTTCTCCCAGGTTCACGAGCTGATCACTGATGGTGGTAAATAATGAAATAAACGGTGTCTCCGTTCCCACTGCTCTCTGCAGAGCCGCCGCTACTCCGGTGCTGTCTAGAACCGAGAAAAAAACACCTTCTGCAGCCGCAGCAGGGACAGCGGAACACCGGGCTGCGCCAGCCGGAAACCGAGGGCACTGCTGGAAGGCGGGAGCGCAGCGGGACTGGGGCTCCAGAGAGCAGCTCGGCGTGTTGAATCCAGGCAGGCTAGCTTAACGCACGAGCTGAACGAGCTTACCGGGATGCTGCTGCTCGCGCCCCCCGCCCCCTTACCCCCCTCCACCGCCACTCTCCGCCTCGGCACCAGCGCTGCCTGCAACGCTCCCAGCTGATGACAATGGCTTCAGACGGCTCTGGTTTTAGCCTCCAGAGCTGCAGAACCTCTGACGGACCGGCCCACTCCAAACCTTAGCCCATCTTCAGGAATGATCTGCTCCGGCTCTGGTACGGATGGACTCTCTCTCTCTTCCTGTGTGGTTTCAGCTCTGCACTAGAACCTAGTGACGGCGGCCAGGGCCAACAGAACCAGCCGAGCCCGCTGCTGGAGCTGCTCGTTGCGCATGCATTGTTGGAACACTCACGGATGCCAGCAAGGCTTGCGCGCCAGTTCCAGCCCAAATAACGAGGCTTCGCGAGAGGACACGACACGATCTCATCAAAAACCAGCGTCGTTCAGGGACTGTGCTAATCTGAGGATGGAAATGCTGAAATCTGCTGCCGACTCACAAACTTCTGCTTCCGCCTCATCCCAAGTCACGTTTATTATTATTATTATGTAGCTATGCACCAGTCTGTCTAGATAGATAGATAGATAGATAGATAGATAGATAGATAGATAGATAGATAGATAGATAGATAGATAGATAGATAGATAGATAGATAGATAGATAGATAGATAGATAGATAGATAGATAGATAGATAGATAGATAGATAGATGATAGATAGATAGATAGATAGATAGATAGATAGATAGATAGATAGATAGATAGATAGATAGATAGATAGATAGATAGATAGATAGATAGATAGATAGATAGATAGATAGATAGATAGATAGATAGATAGATAGATAGATAGATAGATAGATAGATAGATAGATAGATAGATAGATAGATAGATAGATAGATAGATAGATAGATAGATAGATAGATAGATAGATAGATAGATAGATAGATAGATAGATAGATAGATAGATAGATAGATAGATAGATAGATAGATAGATAGATAGATAGGTAGATAGATAGATAGATAGATAGATAGATAGATAGATAGATAGATAGATAGATAGATAGATAGATAGATAGATAGATAGATAGATAGATGATAGATAGATAGATAGATAGATAGATAGATAGATAGATAGATAGATAGATAGATAGATAGATAGATAGATAGATAGATAGATAGATAGATAGATAGATAGATAGATAGATAGATGATAGATAGATAGATAGATAGATAGATAGATAGATAGATAGATAGATAGATAGATAGATAGATAGATAGATAGATAGATAGATAGATAGATAGATAGATAGATAGATAGATAGATAGATAGATAGATGATAGATAGATAGATAGATAGATAGATAGATAGATAGATAGATAGATAGATAGATAGATAGATAGATAGATAGATAGATAGATAGATAGATAGATAGATAGATAGATAGATAGATAGATAGATAGATAGATAGATAGATAGATAGATAGATAGATAGATAGATAGATAGATAGAAGTGAATAGCAGTAGTGACGAAGCACAGAAAGCTGACACCAGAGTGGAAGTGAAAACATGGCCTCCCCTCCTCCCCCACTTCTCTCTATTTTTGTTATTCAGGACGCTTCTCTGTCGTTTACGTAAGATTTATGAGTTCCTTCGCTGTGTGTGTGTGTGTGTGTGTGTGTGTGTGTGTGTGTGTGTGTGTGTGTGTGTGTGTGTGTGTGTGTGTGTGTGTGTGAACACTTCTACAGCAGCAGCGCTGCGGACTGCTGAGGAAGATCTGGGTAGAGGCGGAAGGTGGGAGCCTGAAATGTGTCCATCTGCAGCTTTTCTCTGAAAACCTCCGCTCCAGCTACTGAATAGCCTCATCACTCATTAACCAAACCACTAATCAGCTCTTTTTCTCTTTTCTTCTCTCTTTTTTTGGAGTTTTCTCCTTTCAGAAGGAGGTGGGGGGAGGAGGCGCTGGATTACAGACCTGTAACAACACGCTGCTGCTCGGAACGGATGACAAGATTCTTTATTTTCTTTGGATGGCAGACGCATGTCGACGATTTGTGTTGCGGACTGAGTCCCGGATATTGGTTTTCACTACTGATACAGAGCCATGTTGATGTATGGAAAACCACATTCCCAATTCCCATCCCAGTGGGACTTCAGTCATGTAGGTCACTGGGAACGGTGCCGAGGAGTTTCCCCTGATTCCAGCTGAGGAACGAGCGTCTCGCGCCGTTACTGCTGCGCTGCTGCAGGCGAACTTTAATACTTTCATTTATTTTAAAGAAAATCCGCCTAAAAGGCTCAGAGTCACACTCTCTGATCCACTAGCCGTTTTGCCAGAATTATGACGTCATGACAGCTTTTTAAATAACCGTGCATCACATGATGACCGCGCGCGCCCCTTCTTGTTAACGCGTGTCTACATGCTACATTAAGCGACATCATTCATTCAGCTTACATGAGATCAGTAACCTCTGACCATTCACCTCCACATGCACACGCGCATCTAACACCAGTCGATAATAATAATAATAATAATAATAATAATAATAATAATAATAATAATAATAATTTATTTACTGGACAGTGTAAATCCGTTCTGTGTTCCCCCTTCGCTCTGGAGCTCCTCTGAGGCCTGGCGAGGACTCAGCAGTCTCCAGACTCCAGAATAACGCAGAGCAGCACAAACTCGGCCGAAGTTTTCCTCCTCTCAGGTCACGGATTAACAGATCTCCCAAAATATTGGTACATCGAGAACAGGAGACAAAAATATTCGAAACAGAATCAAATGTTTAAAAGCAGCCTGGAGCACCGAGCTCCTGGTCTAATGGAGCGCTCGGATCGAAGGTCTCACTGACCTTAAATCATTCCCGGAATAAAGCAAGGCGCACCAGGGAGAAGGCTGAAGGAGTGATCTGAGATCCTATTGATTCAGTAATCCTGTTACACATCCGATTATATTCGCCATGCTTCCGCCTCTCTCGGGCAAGGCCTCGGACAAGATTTCTCTTTCTTTTCCAAACGGTTATCTTTACCGGGAATAAAGCTGACCAATGAAAACACACAGAGGGAGAGCACGCGGCCTCCTCGGCAGGAGTTAGTGGAGCGGAAATGAATTCACTCCAAACTAAACAGGCTACACACAATATTTAAACAATAGAAAACATTTCTAACGCATTAGATAAAATCCCAGAGATAAATAAATATCAGATCTGTGTCAAACCACTCATCTGAACGCACGTGGATCCAAACAAAACAAAACAAAATGAAACAAATGATAATGAAATAAAATAGAGACGCAAAGTCCCTATTAAATTGTTTCTGCTCACATCTGTGTGTGTGTGTGTGTGTGTGTGTGTGTGTGTGTGTGTGTGTGTGTGTGTGTGTGTGTGTGTGTGTGTGTGTGTGTGTGTGTGTGTGTGTGTGTGTGTGTGTGTGTGTGTGTGTGTGTGTGTGTGTGTGTGTGTGTGTGTGTGTGAAGGAAACATCAAACCCAAACGAACCAGACCGCCTGACATCATTCAACCAGCTTCGTTTCACTCACGCAGCTCTGGCTCAGGTCCAATCCCATCACGGTGGTACCGCCGGTTCTGCCGCCTCCCAGACCCTCACCGGAAACTGAACAGGAGTGAACTGGTATCTGAGTCAGCCTGCAGGCCGAGACAAAGAGAGGTCTCTCCCAGAACCCCCCTCACACACACACACACACACACACACACACACACACACACACACACACACACACACACACAAGCTGAGTAGTCCAAATCTGATCTGAAGGCTCCCAGAACCGGAACCAGAACACTCCTAACATCAGTTGAAGGTATTTAAAGGAAAAATCCTTATTGTGTCTGGAGGACAACAAAGCAACCCCAAACATTACACATGAGATAGAAGACACATAGGGTCTTTGATCTTATTATAGTTTTAATTATTATTATTATTATTAGTAGTAGTAGTAGTAGTAGTAGTAGTAGTAGTAGTAGTAGTATTAATATTATTAATATTATATTATTGTTGTTGTTATTATTATTATTTTGTTGTTGTTGTTGTTATTATTAACATTATTAATATGTTATTATTATTATTATTATTATTATTATTATTATTATTATTATTATTATTATTATTATTATGCCCATGACGCTTTTGCTCTTCTATCTCCGTTGGTGTCATCTGCTTTCGTCTGATTTATCTGATATGTGTGATAAGTTGGTGATTTGATTGGGATCCTCCTGCTGTCCCTGAGTTAAAAGTTCAGCTGCAGAAGTGTTTGCTTAAAGCAGTGACATATGATGCCGTGCTTATGGGAAACATGACCTTTGACCTGCAGAAGGAATTCCTCTCCTGACCCAACAGCAACTGGAAACATTTTTAAATCCAGCTTCAGCAAATCATAGATCCTTGTATCTGTTCAGGAAGTGGATGATATCTTTAATAATCATGGGGTTTAGGGAAATAACCTAGCTGGGGTTGGGGTAAGGGTCCGTCAGAATCCATGGGATGATGTTTGGTGACATCAGTGTTTATGTTTCTCGCGTTGCTTCACGGGTGAAGAAACAATGCAACAGTGCCCAGAATTAGGTGGTTTTGCTTGTTTGGAGGAGGTTTCAGTGAAGCAGATGGGTCATTCCTGCTGTGTGTTGATGGTCTGGCACGTGGGAAGCTTGATAAAAAGATTTATTGGAATTTTCTCCGTAAAAGACCACAAAACATGACAGAGATTATAGGAACCTGAACACTACAAAGAACACCTGTTTTCCTGCAGCAATAGACACTTTGTGAGGCTCATTTAGTTCACGGAAAGTCCTTGTGACTATTAGTTAGAGAAGATGTTTTATAAACATTCATATTTGTGTAATTTAAATCTACTGAGTCGTGTTGTTCTGATTCGGGTGTCTCAATCTGAGATTATTATAGTAAAGAAGAAATAAATAAGAAGACAGATTACTGAAGTCTTACCGGGCTTTTGCTGGGAGGGTGTATCCATTTTCTTTGGCCATCACCCACAGGTGATGGAAACAGCACTGTGGCGCTGCTTGTCA